GAATGGAATGCATCAAAATTGGATTGTGTTGGCGGTAGCCTATAGTGCTACAGTTTCAATTTGATTTTAATGGTGTCTGCATTTTGGTCGAAACAAAGCTATTATAAAGCTAAATTAACTGGAATAAAGGTAACTTNTTAGTTACACCGAATATTATTAAATGATAGTTAAAGGAATACTACCCTTAGAATGGGCACCATTTTTAAAGTCTTACCCAATTGGTCAACAATTATAATGTATATATTCATCAGTTTACCAGATACCATGACTAAAGAATAGAATCGCTATATAACACGATATATCCACTAAGCTACGTAGATACTGAAAAACGCTTCTAAGTATGTTTCAAAATGACTTAGTTTAATGAAGTATTACTTGGACTCCATTTTTAACCAAGTTGGTCATTGTAAGATACCTTTGACTTTAAGCTCGTTGAAAATAATCTAAATCAACTGGAATCAAGCTTAGGTCGTAGTTACACCGAATATGATTACTTGGCTTTTAACTAATATTTGCCTGCTTCATATTTTGTAAGTTTAACAATATATATATATATATATTCGAGGTTGGAAACGAGGACACATATTGTGAATATAAATGTAACCTTGGCCTATAAAACCAGTTGATTTATGAATGATAGCAAAAACAGTTCATATCCATATCGGTTTGCTTTTCATCTGTGACGAAATTTTAAATAAAAGCTGACGTTGTACTTATAAAAAGTGTTACTCTGCTAAAATTTTGTTAAAGTTAATTCACTTTTAGCACAGAGTTCTAAATAGACGAGGAAATTTAGGCCTACTTTATAAAATCATGTTGGAATATTTTATTTGTTTCTTTGTCTTCATAGCTGCTTTGGCTGCAGCATTTTACATGTAAGTTATTTTTATTATAAAAGTTAAGAATACATATTTATCAATATTCAGGTTTATCTTCATTTTAAATCCTCGATTAAATTCATTTTTCTAAGTCCGAAATTATGAGGGGGGGGGGGGGGATTTGAAGCAGTGCCCCAAAGATGTTCAGATGTTTCTGCACTGCAAAATACATGTTAAATAATATTAAAAGGGTTCATTTCCATTGAACTCATAAACAAGTTATTTACAGATATATTACATGGCATCATGGGCTCTTCAAGAAGTTGGGTATTCCTGGACCCGAACCAACATTCATGGGACAACTAACAAAATATAGCGGAGTGGTAAGTTTCACCTAGCGATTTTTTTCTGTTACGACAGGAATATTTTAGTCACTTTGTTAACAGAAGTTTCATTGTGAAATTATTATCAATGTAATCTACCTCTGTAAAAAAAGGTCAAAAGGATCTATAGGGAGTTACATCAGTTGAGGGGGTAGAGCAGGGACCACAGAATTTTTGTAGGGGGGCGGAAGTGGGGGGGGGGGTGTCAGTGGCACAAGCTATGCTTTCACTATTTAAATTGATAAAAAAATTTGAAAGTTCTGGGTCAAAGTTGGGCCAGCCTCTTTTCTGGGAGGGCCCCCCCCTCCCCCCCCCCCGGCCCCAATGTAGAAACGCAACTGTAAAGATACTAACTTGGTGCTAATGACAAAGGGCTAGTATATATATATGTAGGGTAAGGCCAACTTATTAATTTTTTACCTCTGTGTAGATTCAGTTCTGATAAAATCTTGACACTGTTATATAGGATATAGAGTCATTTAATATTGTACTATATTTTAGGCTGTTGGAGAAATGGACAGAGAATTAATGAAAACCTATGGGAAAGTCGTTGGGTAGGTTTCTACAGGACTTAACCATTAGCAAAATGAAACAAAGGACTGTAAAACACAAAAAAATGTTGAATAGTGAACCAGAGCCAAGTTATTTACACAGTGCATTGGTTTAAAATCTCATTATCCAATCATCTATAATCAGTCGAGAGTTCAACTTCAACCCAAATGTCATTCATTGGTGATGGTAATTGGTCTATTCGTATTCTGCACCATATAGTCACGATTCGGGCCCATCGTTATAAATAAGGTATAAATACGAGGTTAGCAATAGCTTGACATGGTAAAGATGTATCAATGGATAAATTATAAATTTTGATTCCCTTTCCATTCAGGCAGATAAATATTTCGACATAATCCTAATAAATAGACCTGATTGCCTTACAGCGGCATAATAACTGAAGGTGAAGGTCACTCTTTGAAAGAAGAAATTAATAACTTAATTTGAATTATTATTTTTTTCAGTTACTATCATGGTCGTACTCCAGTTCTGAATGTTGGTGATCCCGATCTGGCAAAAGAAATCTGCATTAAACATTTCAACAATTTTTCTTCAAGACCAGTAAGTATGGAATGCCTGAAAATTAATTACCTACTTAGCAATTAGTAGGCTACCTAGGTGTATTGACGCATATAACCCCACTTTTATTTTACGCTAAAGACATGTCTAATAGATTTATGTCTCAATTCTGACTCTTTCAGTTCAATGTACCGAAGGATCTTTATGAAGAAGCTTTTTTGACCGTGGCTGATGGTGAAAGGTGGAAGACCAATCGTTCAGTTCTCTCACCATCATTTACATCGGGGAAATTGAGAGCGGTATGTAGTTAATTTTACGTTTGTTAGACCTATACAACACCGGAGTACAGAAAGAAAAGAGAGAGAACACAAGGTTAACGAAGATAACAACTAAGGATCTGGAGGACCCGTCTACCAACTGGTCCTTGACAACAGCCTCTTGGCATTGATCTTTCCTCTGTTATCTGTCGACCAGGTCCGCAGCCAGACAATTCATTTTTTCGAGGGGAAAGAGGGTTGGCATTCACACGTGGCAAGCCAACCGAACGATGCACTTAATTACCAATTGTTCGGTTGCAAGTAATATGCCAAAGCATTATGATTGCAGAAAAAAGTGTCATTGTGCCCACTAGCTAGCAGTGTCAAGGATATGTTACAAGACACTGGCTCCAAATGGCACTTTTATACATTATTAAATGGATTTTTTTTTTACGAAATTGAAATGTGTACCACGAAGACACTTATAGTTTTATTTTCCAAAGAGTCTGTCAATATCTTAGTCGCTGGAATATTGATTGTTATAGATTTATTTCAGATGGTACCCTTCATGAAACAATGTACAAAGAACTTCTTGAAGCATCTTGAAAACAATACTGAGAGTGGGAAAGCGATAGAAGTTAAAACGTAAGTATTACGACGTCCTCCCTAGCTGATCCGATTGGATAATCGTCATGGAATCATCCGGTGGCGTATTTAGGCGCCTATCTTTGGGACATACACCTCCTCCCCCCTCAGACCATACAAAATGAAATTTTCTTCTACTTTGACTTCCAAAATTTTCCATAAAACCCCCATCATAACTAGTGACACTAACATTCGCAAAGGGATGCCGAGGCGCTCATTAAGCCAGTAGCAGAACCATGATTACATTAGGTGTGTCGAAAACGTACAAGAATGCCCGTGGCCTAGGGCTGATCCCACCTCACCCAACCATGACAAATCTGGCTAAAAGGGCGTTTTAGAAAATATGAAAAAAGTGAAAAATTGCAGTGCATATGCTACGACCTTGAGCTACCATGCCTATTATTACCTTTAATCTAATTTGATGTTTTAGGATGTTTAACGGTTTTACATTGGATGTGATTTGTACCACAGCTTTCGGAATAGATATTGATTCTCAAGGTCACCCAGATAACCCTTTAGTTGTAGCTGCAAAAGAGGCAACAGAATTTAACTTGGGAGATCCTTTTATTGTGCTCTGCAGTAAGTACGGTATAATAATATTTTAACATCAATGGTCTAGTCGGATGTCAATCTTTGAATCAAGCGAACCACCTTATTTAACAGGAGGCTATGTTTCGGCATGTTTACACTCAAGCTAATGTTTGAAGGTACCCGTTCTATGATTAACCTATCGAGCAGCATGATTTACTATTTCCGAGCTTCAAATTTTCGTTTTGTACTTGTCTGTTGTCTGTTCATAACTACGGGTAGTTTATTCAGAATTGTATGTATACTTTGATTTCAGCTTTGTTGCCATTCACGGTATCCATTATGGATTTCTTTGGTGTTGGTTTTATGAAAAGGGGGCCCAAGAAATATATGATCGACACAATAGAAAATGTCATCTCCGAAAGACAGAAAAATCCATCAGTAAGTTTATAAAGACTTCATAATATAAATCATGGTTGGTTGGGGCGTGGTTGTGCGGGTTTTAGCTCTATGTTCTTATGTCCTCACAATTTCAAGGTCAGTTATTTGACAGGGGAGGTCATTATAGAAGGCAATAGTCATGTTGGTTGGGCGGTGGGTTTAAAGTAGATTTTATTGGCCCGAGGGGAGCGTGACACAACACCATAAGCCCCCTCCCCCCTCCCTCCCTAAATACGCCATCTTTTAAGGTATTACGGACATCGTGAAACCATGACATTTTGAATAATATGTTCATTATGTTTAGTTATGACATATACAAAACTTAGTCACAAACTTAGTGTAATGCACCCACAGAAAGATTTGTAGAGGCCCTCTTGTTTTCACTTATGAAATATATTTTTTTAGGACAGAATAGATTTCGTATCTCTGGCAATGAAGGCCAAAAAAGATTCAGAAAAACGAGCAGATGGAAGAGGTAATAATTAACATGATTTAACAAGACCCCCTTATCCCCCCCTCCCTTAAAAAAAAAAATACGTACAATGATTTTTCCGGCGTGTTACACTACCATCCCGGGTTCCCTCTGTCAGTGATGCAGGTCGAGGTCCGAGGGGCTTACATGGACAAAGCGTGTAGTCGTTCGGATCAGACAATAAACCAAGGCCCCGTGTGCCAAAGACTGTGCAGATTATCGAACCTCGACAGTTGGATATTGAAAAAGAGAAGGCAAATGTCGCTATCCGGCAAAATTGCCCTCAATGTGCACTGCATGTTGTTTCCCGTCCTCATTAGTCCATTATGTGCGAATGTACCGCTTTCCTCGCATGTATCGAAATACAGATTATAATTTTAGTTTCTGACTGGTTTCTTTTTTGTTTCAGTTTTCAATCAACAAGATCTGATTGGAAACCTTCTTGTTTTTATGTTGGCTGCTTATGATACAACATCAACCACTTTGTCATTTGTATCATATTGTTTAGCCACCCACCCAGACATTCAGGATAAAGTTCTTCACGAAATCAACCAGAAACTTAGCAAGGTGACAATTTCCTGAATTTTTGTCGTTTGTTTGTTTACGTGTTGGTGAAAGGTTTACCAGGCCCATAGCTCAAGGTTGCAAAGGAGGGGGAAGGGGGTTGCGCTGAAAGATTTTGACAACTGACCCATTTCATTACTGCATCGAAACACCATTAACCCTCCGGATATATTACTTGCCCCTCCGAACAATCAAGTCTGGCTACGGGTCTGGGGTTTACACAGTTTGTATGCCTACTGTTGTATTTTTCCATTTTTATTGACAGGATGAAGAACCTGATCATGAAAATATTGCTAAATTGACATATTTACAACAGGTTATTGATGAAACTCTTAGATTATTTCCGCCATTAGTAAGGTAATGATGACTTAGCCCACCACATTGGAATTGTGTTTAGGGCCAGACCTATAATGTCGATTTTTATGGGATTTGCTCCGACAAATTTTTGTTTTTTTGAGGAGGGAGAAATATCTTGATCGACTCATTCATTATGGCCTAGCTAGAGTTTATTTCAGTTATTAACTTTGCCAGCTAACTCATGGAACGACTAAAACTATTTATATCTTAACGCTATATTTTAGAACGATCCGATATTGTGCTGAAGATATAGATATCAATGGTACATTTATTGCTAAAGGAACGGAAATATCTTTTCCTGTATTTGCTATACAGAGGGATCCTGATTTTTGGGAGAATCCTGACAAGTTTGACCCAGAAAGGTAATTATCTACCTTCCTGATTTTATAGGCTAGGATTTGGAGGGATTTCAGTATTGAATTTCGTTGTGTTCCCCGACTTTATAGTCTTTAGGGGATAATTCTGACACAAAATTATGCATTTAATATTTTATTGTGACTATCGTTTATCAATTATACATTCTATAATCATTTTGGATCCATACCGTACGAAGATTTTGTTTCATTGTCTTTGTAGTCTTGAACGACCGGCCTCTGATATATAAATTACCAGATTCAGGTGACCACGTGCCAATTTGGACATAGTTCCGGTAAATAATGTCCGCCATTTATTACCGTGATATGTTGTAGATCTGTGACATGGTATACCGTTTAGTAGTGACGGTGTTAAATCTATACATGCATTATGTACCATTGAAAATGAAGTATTGAAAATTTTCTTTTAATTTAGATTTTCACCAGACAGGAAAGAGTCCATGAATCCACACGCCTATATGCCTTTTGGAATGGGACCGAGAGTTTGTATTGGCCAACGTTTAGCTCTGTTAGAACTCAAATTAGTTTTGGTCAGTATTCTGAGAAACTATAGGATACATTCTACTCCAGAAACTGAGGTAGGACCATTAATCGCAGTCAAATGAAAAATATGAGCTTCGCCCAACTCTCTCCTTTGGTGCTTTGCTGTACCATAATCGTTTTTTGTTTTAGCAATGCTGACGTCAATAGTCGTTATTATCATATTATGCTCATGGTGCCACACGGGCGATTCCAATTTCGGTTTTAGGAACTTTGTCTTCGAACAAAGTGGATATCACATACCGTTTGGAAAACTGACGACATTCTACAAATTTAGATGAGCAACTAACCGTAAATAATAACCCTAGACCATCTTTGTATATATGTTCTTTCCGAAAAGATGACCCAGACGCGAAAGGCTGTAACAACATCCACCACAAAAAAAGTAGAGCAGTAAAGCAAATGCAAAATAATTTCTTTTTCAGACACCAAATTTGAAAATGTTCAAAGGCGAACTTTTCTTGCGACCTGAAAAACCCATACACGTCCGTTTTGAGAAGAGATAGAGGTCAACCTACATGGGTTTGAAGAACATCATTTTTGAAGAATGGAATCCAAAACGTACTAAATCTTATCCCGTTAAACTGAATTGCGACCATTGTTGATCTTACGGCGCTTAAAACTGTATTAGATCGCAGGTTTATGTGAAGAAAACGCAAGAAATATACAGGTGCATAATTATGAATGTATAAAAATTAATATCAGTAATAATAGGCATATGTTTATTTCAAAATAATTTACATGTAGACCATAAGTGAATATATTGAACACGTCTATAAAGTTAGCTGATATACATAAATTGTTAATGCATTATAAGATAAACTGGAATCGTCTGTCTTAGAATGCAATATAAACAAACACAATTTAATTCTGATATTGTGGCGGTACACATTTGTAGAACTTGACCTGAAAAATACGTAACATGAAAAATATTGTGTAAAAGTAAACATGTGGGCTGGTATCACAGGTTGAAAATACAAAGCTAAGCTCTACTACAAAAATTTAATAAAAACGTAGGCTTGAAACTATCGTCACTTGCGCCGATGTGACGGCTTTTTATTTAATTGTCGAACTATGCATCGGACTTTCCTTGTGAAAAGAAGCAAGGTGAGCAGGCCATGAGCCCCCCCCTTGCCCTCCCTAGGGACCTGATGACCACATAAAATCGTGATATTATTCAAACCGTCATTTAAATGTCTGACATTGCGTATGCTCGCCCTCATTTCTACAACCCTGTCTTAGATAAATATTTGTCCAATGTTTTAATTGTAAGTTGGTTTACCTCATCTATATAACCTCTGAAATTCTCTAAACCAGTCCCTTTGCCAATTGTCATTGAACAATCTACTCTTTCAATATCTGACTGCAGGCCTTTAGATTGTAACAAAATATGAAAAATAAAGAAAGAGGAAAGATTTATAAAATCAAATAGATAATTTGTAACCGACAAAAATTTCTGCCAAGACATTGTCTAATCCTAATCGAACTACAAATCGACAAGGGAAACTAGTAACAAAATACAAAACCTGTACGGTGGGAATACTGATGCGCTGATGAAAAAAAAATCGGTCACGAGAAAATATGTAATGCCTGTAATGCCTACAGTACAAATACAGCATTTTGTTAAGGTTGCAATACATCTGAAATATTGGGAATCCATGACAAAGGTAACTATTGCATTTGTCAATCACTCTCTTTACCTTTATGAAAACATTATTCGGAAAAGACTGAGCTCTATCGACATAAACAATTACATGACTTCACGTTATAATTCTTACCGTATCCCATTATTGGGTATATGTTATTGTCTACTCGTAATTCAGCCTTGTTCCCATTTTTAATTAATGCTATACTGTGCCAACTTGACAATTTCTGAAAATAAATTTGATGTGGAATATAGTCTCAACCTATCTGGTTTATAAGTTGATTTCTTTTTTTCCGGTGCGAACTTGGGCTTTGACTATTTTCGCTTTAAGCATACTTTTAACTTAAATCATGAATTGGAGAAAAATTAAATGTTGTTAGTTTATAATTAAACGCTCTCTACATAAACAATGCCTTACCAATTCATCTGAACTAGTTGTAACAGCTTCACCGTTCTTCAAACGAAAACCGCCATGGATGGAACCTGTTCTTGGTGATGTTTTGAGAAGGGCCACGCCAAACGTAGCTTCTTTAGCACAATCGCTGTTATCAATCAAAGCATAACGATCTTCACCAATTTGTTCATGGCTGTCCGACTTGAAGCGGAACGATAACGTGAAATTGGACTTAAATTCCATATTATTCATTGCCCAAGCTATAACTTGTCTGTTCCCATCAAAATATACCGCACCACCACCAACAGCTGATGGTTGAGTCTTTCTGATCCATGTATCTAAACCACCGGAAGCAGTTTTACCCATCTGATCCTTTATATCGGTATCAAACGGAAAGTAGATGTATGGTTCACAGGTTGCTGAAAAATGTCTCAAAATTAATAATAATAATAGTAATCATATCTACCAATAGAAGAAGCCTACTGTACAAAAGTGGTGAGCTATTACAAAACTGGTCGTTATTACAAAAGTGGTTCCTACACCTACCTAAACGAAATTTAATGGAATTGGTAATTCGCATATAAGCATGTCTTGACTTGGTGTGAATAAACGAAATTCGGTGTCTACTGTGGTGGGATTATCGATACAGTACATAGAAGCTAAAATACGAGGAACGGGTTCTCTTCCATTGTATAGTTTCTACTGTTTAGATAACCCTGCACCGTACACCTCATTTCATACATCGTACATATGACATCCTGTGGACAACAGTGCTATATCTCGATAGTTTGCATTCTATTGATATCAAATACTCCTACTAATGGTTTTAATCGACATAATTAGGTACCTCTGGTAGAACTTGAATGACAAAAGTACATAACAATAAGATCTTACCACTTTTGATGAGATCAGCACTATTTGTACAACTACACATTTCATAAGAGAAAGCTGTTCCACTGGCACAATTCATAGTAATATTATTACCATCTATAGACCACATATATTTAGATTTATCACCGGGATATTCGTATCTTTCACAAGCTGCAAAATATAAGGTATGGCTTAATGTACGTTTAAGTCTCTTGAGTCCACGATCCAATAGGGTTTGAGACCATGACAGCAAAGACGGTATGTCGTCAGTGAAACATGGTGTTCTCATCGTTCCTGATGCAAATCTTAGGCGGCATTTTATGTTATATCATATTACGTCGACCACAGTATAATAAGACAAAAGTGGAAAAGGTCCATCTTTTCGGTTTCAACTTTGTTAACTTTACACTTGCCCGCATAACTTGTGTCTTCGCTGTACATTTTGATTTTACACTGATAATTCTTTCCAACCCAATGGTTTTTCATGAATAATAAGGACAGAATTACCTAATAGTTTGGCTGTTGAATTGGAACTTCCGGGTAAACAGGGGTCGTTACAGCCATTGTCTGGATAGCATTGTCCATCAGTTTCTGAAAATCTGGAGTTTCTATCGCAACAGTTGAATACTAATCTCATTGAGTCAGTGCATGTGAAGTATCCATTACAGGTCCTTAAATCCCTCAAAGTTCGGGATCTGTCAACACATGGGTCTGAAAGGATAACATATCTAGTAAGTATCAGCAACAGCCACAAGGCCAGCTCCAACAGCATAAGCAGCAAAAACTTCACATCACCATCAGCAGTAATAAAAACACCATTCTTAAACAATGTAAATAAGTCATGAAAGTTTGTTGGAGATAACCTGTCTTCAATCATATTTATAACATAATTGATTTCTTGAAATCAGTCAACCAAACTCTTTCCAACGAACCAATACAGATCAAATTTATCTTCATCATCACCATAATCATAAGAAATGCGACCAAATATCACATATCACAAATAAGTAACAAATATTTTGGACATAATTTAGCTACTGTTAGCACATAGACAAATGCTGATATCACATGAAAATATTAAAAGTCCCTGGGTACGATAAAAAGACATTAAAGTCGAATTTTACATAATTTCCAATTAAGAATTTTCTTGAAATAGGACGTAAGGTCAAACAATAGAATGAATGGAATACATGTATACTTACTGGTGGGACAGTCGGATTCTTCAGGCCAAACACATTGTTTGACTTTCTGAGACCAGAGTAAACCCCTGGAACATTCTTTAACTTGACCGACAACTGTCTTATCTTGACCAATAGTACAATGAACAAATAGATGACAATATTTAGGATGGTAAACATATCCTGAGCCTGTTGATGTATCACACTCTTCACATAATGCTAAAATAAACAAATATTTATTAGACACCGACTTCGCCAGAGTGCAGACTCCAGATAAACTTTTTTATGTTTCTTGAAAAGAGTTTAAAGTTTTACTGACATAGAAAATCATGTCGTTATAATGCCTTTGTCTTTGTAACAAATCATTACGATTGGCCATGATCGACTTGTAGAATTTATATTTCCAAAGACTTGTAGCAAGCTACGGCTACATCGTGGAGAACCAATCAATCGTTGGAAATATTGACTTGCGTCAAAAATGTATTGACGCCGGTTGTTCATTTTCTACTTCCTATGATTAAGAGTATCGACGCCACCTGCGTTACACAGTCTATCGCAGTGTTTAGTATTATGACATTTTCTGGTTATGAGTGTTTCGTTTCGCTCATGACGACTTTGACGATTCCGATGAGGAGCTTTGAAAGTCGATTTGAGCCGACCCCAAAAAGACATAATTCACAGATCACACAGAGGCAATGGAATAAAACAAGAAATAAAATTTGTAAAAAGACCTTTCCGTAACATTGGTCCGACATTTATGTCTCTTTGAGTGCCTACTTCAAACCATTAAATATTTAGTTAGTTTATGCGAAAATTAATGTCAACTCATTAGAAGAAATAAATATATATTGGATAACCCATTAAAAATTCACAAGTCAACCCATCAAAATTTACAAGTACTTAAATTTTACAAGTAAACCTACTTAAATTTTACAAGTAAACCTACTTATATTTTTCTAGTCGACCCATTAAAAAAGC